GGGGGGTTATATTCTTTTTCAAGTAGAAATTTAATGTATTCTGTTGGCAATGTTTCTTTATCATGAAAAGTTTATTCACGAGAAAAGCAGCAGACATATTTGTTTTGTTTAGTTCGTTTTCATCACATGTAACATCCATGTTTTGTCGCATGTCTCCACATGTTTTTGTCACATGAACTCCCATATTTGTCGCACGTCTCTCCAGATTTTCGTCACGTGTAACACCCATATTTGTCGCACGTGTCCCCAGACTGGGCCTGAACGGCGGCAGCAGTGGTGGGGGCAGTGGGGGCGAGGGCAGCAGCAGCAAAGACACGACCACCACCACCACACACCACTTTGTCCGACGGCGCTCCACGCGGCATCGCAACTACATGAGCCGGGCTCAGCTACACGACGCAGTGGAATTGCCAGATGGCTACGGTGAGTGTTGGGTATGTGTGTGGGGGGGTGGGGGTGTTGTGCGCGCGTGTGTGTGTGTGTGTGTGTATGTGTGTATTTGTGTGAGCGTGTGTGTGTGTGAGCGTTGTGGTGTGTATTTGTGTGAGTGTGTGTGTGTGAGCAAGCGTTGTGGTGTCTGTGTGTGCGGTTGCGCGCGCGCGCGCGCGTGAAGGAGCGTTGTGGTGTGTGTGAGTGAGTGAGGGAGCATTGTGGTGTGTGTGTGTGTGTGTGTGTGTGTGTGTGTGTGTGTGTGAGTGAGCGTTGTGATGTGTGTGAGTGTGTGTGTATGTGTATGTGTGTGTGAGGGAGCGTTGTGGTGTGTGTGTGTGTGAGTGTGAGTGAAGGAGCGTTGTGGTGTGTGTGTATGAGTGCAAGTGTGTGTGTGTGAGTGAGCGTTGTGGTGTGTGTGTGTGAGTGTGGGTGTGTATGTGTGTGTGTGACTAAGGGAACGTTGTGGTGTGTGAGTGTGTGTGTGTGTGTGTGTGTGTTTGTGTGTGTGTAAGGTTGCTACGATGTTCTTCCGTGAGAGTCAAGTTTTTTGTTGCGAATAAAGGTAGCTATTGGCTACAGTGAGAATAGTTTTTGTGAGTAAAGGTAGCTACTGGCTGTGGTGAAAACTGGGTTGCAAACGTAGCTACTGGTTTGTTGAAAATTGGGTTTTTGTGTGTAAAGGTAGCTACTGGCTATGGTGAAAACCGGGTTTATGTATCTTCAGCTAGCTACTGGCTATGGTGAAATTGGGTTTTTATGTGTAAAGGTAGCTACTGGCAATGGTGAAAATTGGGTTATTTGTGTGTTTAATCTTAAGTAGTGACAATAAGTAATTTGATTAACCCGATATTTTTGTTGTATAATCTTTCCCTTCCAGAGCAACGCACCACACTTCAAGGCCAGGTCTACTTTCTGCACACACGCACTGGAGTCAGCACTTGGCACGACCCACGGGTGCCGAGGTAAGGACCTCACTCTCAGACCAGTCTGCTCTCTCTCTCTGTGTCTCTTTCTCAGTCTGTCTGTCTATCTGTCTGTCTGTCTGTCTGTCTGTATGTCTGTCCGTCTGTCTGTCTGTCTGTCCGTCCGTCTGTCCATCTGTCTGTGTCTGTCTGTCTCTCTGTCTGTCTGTCTTTCTCTCTCTCTCCCCTCTCTCTTTTATTTCTCTCTCTCCCCCCCCCCCCTTCTCTCTCTCTCTCTCTCTCTGTCTCTCTCTCTATCTCTCTCTCTGTGTCTCTCTCTGTCTCTCTCAGTGTTGTTTCTACATGTGGCGTCGGTGGCCTAGTGGTTAGGCTCTCGGACTCGCAACGGTAAGGTCGTGGGTTCGAATCCCGTCAGGGGCCCGACGTTGTGTCCTTGGGAAAGCCACTTTACACGAATTTTCCTCACTTCACCCAGGTGGGAATGGGTACCCGGCTATAGACAGCGAAAGATCTTGTCAGTTTTTGAGTGTTTGAGCGCTTAATCAGCTGCTTGCACTGTATGCTTTCCGGGAAGCTGAGAATGTTTCGGAGTGTTCTATGGTCTGCTGGGGTAATAATATAGTGTAAAGCGCATAGAGCCTGCTGTTGAGCGGGGATATGCGCTATACAAATGCTATTTATTATTTATTATTTATTATTACATGATATTGACCCTGAGAGGTGAGGCCGAAGCAACCAGTCTCTTAAATAATATAAATTGTGTTGATGGGGGCGGGGCGCAAGACGTTTACGATATATCAAAAAGTCTCATTTATGTCCACAGACAAGTAGGCATGGAGTTTCGTGATGAAGATCTGGGCGTCATGCCTGAAGGGTGGGAGGTTCGGATGACACCCAGCGGCAGGGTCTACTTTGTGGACCACAACAACCGCACCACGCAGTTCACCGACCCCAGGCTCTCGCAGAACCTGCACCTCATACAGGAGAGATTGTGAGTAGTTGGTGTAGGAGACATGCAGGCACACACGCATGCGCACGCACGCGTGCACACACACTCACAGGTGCACTCACATACATACTTAATGCACTCATGCACTGACACTTGTTGGGGCATACATTCTTATGCACTTACACACACACTGACATACAAACATACACACGTACGCACACACACACACACACACACACTCACACACACAAATATTATCCCCTTTGTTTTCCACCTTTTCCTTTTTGTTTTCAACACACAAACACACACACACTCTTTCTCTCACACATACAAATTGACACTGACACACACACACACTCGTACATCTTCCTCTTTGTTCTCCACACTTTCTCCGGTTAAAGTAGACAGACTCTCACAGAACCTGCACCTCCTGCAGTAGCGATATAGAGTAGTAATTTATATTTCTGTTGTCATCAATATCATCATCATCATCCTCATTGGCTTCCCCCCCCCCCCCCGGATCAGGGTATAGGCCACAAACACTTTCCACCTTTCCTTATCCTGGGCTAGCCTCTTGGTGTTATTCCATGTCTTCCCACTTTTCTGTACATCAATTTCTGTGACTCTTCTCCATGTGGTCTTCCCCTTGATCTTTTACCCTTTTGTTGTCATGTTCTTCAGAAAAAGCCCGAGCCAGGACAAGGAGAACGAGCAGCCGAACCTCCCCAAGTACAAGCGGGACCTGGTGCAGAAGATGAAGGTGCTCAAGCAGGAGATCAGCGCGCTGCAGCCTCAGGCCGGTCACTGCAGGCTGGAGGTCAGCCGCGAGGAGGTCTTTGAGGTCAGCTGAGACTTTTGCTTTTCTTGCAGATTTGTTGGTACAGTCCAACTTGCTCTAACGGTCACCTGTATAAGACAATACCTGTTTACCTGGGGGGAATGGTCCTTTGTACAGGTGATTGTCATGGACAATCTGTTAGAGCAGGTTTGACTGTATCTCTTTTCACGTACTTCTTTTCTGCCCTTCCTTTTGTAAATTACTGTTATTATTTTGAAAAACTCCTTTTTTTTTTTTTTTTTTAAAACCTCAAACAAGCTGAAACAAATCGCCTTCATTAGGCTGGTATGCATTTTTGTCTATTAAATTTGAGAAAAGGATGCTTGGATGGAAGCTTTGGTGTTGTCTGTTCTTCCTTGTTAAGAGTCATTTTCCTGGTTTTTATTGAATGAAATGTGGGGGTAGTCATCTAGCCGACAAGCTGCAAACAAATGCCGCTAGGTGGTTGGTGGGTGCTCTGGTTTGGGTTGCTCCGTCTTTCATATCAAATATTTATCACTCTTATTGCTCCTCCTTTTTGTGTGTGTGTGTGTTTGTTACTCTCTTGTAACACTTCTAATCTTCGGCACCTTACATTATATAACCAAGTGCGGTAAAACGCTTATTAAAGCAAAATAACTTGATATCCCATATTATTACTCTTACAGTGTTTCCCTTCTTGTGTGCAGGTGGTTGGAGGATGTCTCTTATAGGTCGTGCTTCTTTCCTTTCCTTCTGTTCTTTCTATCTGTCTGCCTGTCTGACTTGAGCCGCTCCTTCGCAGCACTAAGTGATTGTAATAGTGTCGATGTGCTTTTCTGTATTTGAGCAGTCTTGTGTCTTTTGTTTTGTTTTGTTTGTTGCACCTCCACGCCATCTGACCAACTTTGGCCGGACGGTTAGAAGGTGCCTTTGGTAGCTCTTACTTCTGTACTTTCCCTCTGTTGTTTCTGTACGTCTGTCTGTCTTACTTTTTCCCATTATTGTTTTGATGTGTTTCTCTTTACTTAAACAAATAATTGAAATAAACAAGACCAACTCTGACTGTATTTCCCTCAGGACTCGTATCGTCAAGTGATGAAGATGAGATCCAAAGACTTGCGCAAACGTCTCATGGTGAAGTTCAGGGCAGAGGAGGGCCTGGATTATGGTGGTGTTGCGAGGTAATTGACCTGAAGTGAAATGTCTTTGGCATGCTTTGTTCACGTTTTGTTCGAGATGTTACTAACACGTTGTGTGTCTTATTGATATTAAGTATCTGATATAACTGGAAGTGTAAATGAAGCCTTTGGGAGTACTGTAAGCTGCATTTTTTCTGCTTCACTCGTTGTGTGATTTCAATTTTGATAAAATTTGCCCCAGTACTTTAGATTCTATGTTATATGAGAAAGAATCGATGGCTGTGGTTATCGATAGATATGGTGTCCTGCTTGTCAGATTTAAATTTAAAGCGTTGTATAGGTGTGGGTGCCCCCGCCCCCCTTCTGGGCTCTCATTGATGAGTTCTTCTTTTTTTCTGGTGAAAGGCACCACTGGTTGGTTTTTTCCTCTTTTGTTTTTGTCTTTCTTTTTCCCAGTTCTTAATAACTGTTATTGTGCCAATTTGCTCTTCTTTCTATCTTTAAACAAACACTTGATACAGTTATTGAATAACTCCCACTGGCATCTGTCGTGTAGTGTGGTAAGGTTCTTTGCAGTGGCGCACAGGAGACCCTAGTTCAATTGCCTAGTGAGGAGATTTTGTATCGAATATCTCGGTTTTTCTACCGGAATGTTATATCCCTCTGAACCCACTCCCCCCCGGGGCAGTGCCACTGACTGTAGTGTCTTTAGGCCATTCCCAAAGGGGGGGATATTTCTCGTTCAAGCACAGTAGAATTGCTGCTTTTTCTTTCCTAATCCTTACTATTGCCATTTTCTTCTACTTCTTTTGTATGTTTGTCACTCTCTTGTGACCGGCTATTTCCGGGGTGCCTTGATAGTCGAAGCACACCTTGTACTGTTGAAGCTAGAGAGGTGAGCAGAGTAAGTCTGATTCCCTGTAAAGACTTCTCTGTTGACACCCACCCCTTGGTGCTCATATGACCTTATGCAGTTGCGAGCGCCGTAAAACCTTCTACTATAATAAATAAAATCTGAACTCAGTTTGGCCCTGGAAGACAGTGTCCAAGCCCACCTTGAAAATGATTTAAATTATGTTGATACGGCTGTAAAGATACAAACGTTTAAAATTGAATTTTAAATAACTCCCGGGGGCTCTCGTGGTCTAGAGGGTTAAGTTGTTGGCCTCTCATTCAAAGGTCCCGGGTTCGAATCCGGGTAGCGACCGAAAAATTTTCTTCTCTACTCTAAAATTGTCTCCTTTCGCCTCCTTTCCTGCTCTCAAGCAATGTTCTATCGTCTGCTTTTCAAGTTAAATGTGTCTTGCGCCCTCATGTGACCGTATGCAGTTGCGAGCGCCGGAAAACACTTACCCCCCCGAAAAATCAATAAAAAAATAACTCCCCCCTCCCTTTGGTATTGCGTGTTTCAGAGAATGGTTCTACCTCCTGTCCCATGAGATGTTGAACCCGTACTACGGCCTCTTCCAGTACTCCAGGGATGACATCTACACCCTGCAGATCAACCCAGACTCAGGGGTCAACCCGGTACGTCAGCATTCTCCCCTTAAATAACTTTTTTTCCTCTCAAAAGAATTTGAAAAAATTTTTCTCGAAGTGAAACTTGGGTTGAAAAACCTTGACAGGTGGGTGACAGGAAAACACCAGGATAATGTTGGGTTATTGAGAGCATCGGAGTGGAGAAATGAATGGAGAGCCATGGGTGCTGATCTGTGTTTCAGGTCTGGCACGTTATGATGATGATGATGATTAGTTGTTTCGTTGTTTTTTTTTGTTTCCTTAATGGGCCTAGTGGACTCCACAAAGAGGGCTTCGAGCGAGAGCGAGGCTCCTTTTTGGCTCCATTGCCATTATACTCAGAGGCACTTCCACGCGTCCAAATAACTCCATTTGAGTTGCCATTGTTGTTCCTGGACATTCACACATATTATGTTTGACATCTTCCTTTTCATGTTGATGATGATGATGACGATGATGAATTATATCATATGTGTTGATCCAGTATAGAGGCAGATAGGGTTTGCGCCTATGTTTCTCCTCTGTTAAGAGTCTCTGAACTCAGAGGCATTTTGAATTGTCTATGGCATTTGAGTTCTACTTCTCTTGAAGTTTAGTTCTGCCAAAGTTTTTTGTCTTTTGATGTCTGCCTCTTCTGTTTTCCTCTAATCTCTTTTCACTTCATTTCTCAATTTTTGTTTTCCATTTATTTCCCTGCGTCTGTTTTCGTTTTCTTACAATTTGCCTTTCTCTGTTAAACATTCATTTTTACAGCCTACATTTTTTGTCCCCTCTTTTTTCCAAATTTTTTTTTTACCGTCTTTTTCTATTTGACCAATTTCTGTTTTTTTATTTTACCAATATCTGTTTTTATTTTTACCAATATCTGTTGTAGTATTTTACCAATCTCCATTTTTCTATTTTACCTATATCTGTTTTTCTATTTTACCAGTATCTGTTTTTCTATTTTCCCAACATCTGTTTTTTCTATTTTACCAGTATCTGTTTCACTATTTTACCCATATCTGTCTTTCTGTTTTACCAATTCCCGTTTTCCCTCTGGTTCTCCAGGAGCATCTTTCCTATTTCCACTTTGTGGGTCGCATCATCGGAATGGCAATCTTCCACGGGCATTACCTGGACGGAGGCTTCACCATGCCCTTCTACAAGCAGCTGCTGGGCAAGCCCGTCACGCTGGACGACCTGGAGAGCGTGGACCCTCACCTGCACCGCAGCTTGTGCTGGATGCTGTAAGCCGAAGACAATTTCTGTCGATTTTTCCATTTTCCAGCCTTTTTGATCAATGTTTGGGATAATAATAGGATTTCAAAATTTAATTCCATTTTATAGATCCACGTGGGGAATTTTGGGTTATGGCAAGCGCACCTACGTAAATACATAATTAGAAATACATGCATACATAAGTACACTTATGCAGGTGGTAGGCGGGTGGGTGCTTTTTTGTGGTTCGCTCCGTCTTTTCTAGCAAACATCCCGGTCTCTCCTATTTATTCCTGAGTTGGGTTTTCGTATACCGTCACTTCCTTCCATGCGTAATTTTTTTATATTCGGGGATTTATAATAAACAGTGTGGGGTATCGGCCTTTTTTGCAAAGAATTTTTTTTTTCAATGTTTGTACTCTTTTATCTTGTACTTTCAGGGAGAACAACATTGAGAACGTTCTTGATCACACCTTCTCTGTGGAGCACGACTCTTTTGGCTGCATGCAAGAATACGAACTCAAACCTGGTGGCACAGAGATCACAGTGACGGAAGAGAATAAACGAGAATACGTCAAGTGAGTTGTGGAAAGCCAACTACTGTCTGTAATGTTTTAGTCTTTTCTTATTGTGGTGTAACCCTATCTCCGGGGGAGGTAAAATGCACTATGCCGGGTCCCTCTCTTGGAAGAAAACATAAAAATGACATATACATCTCAAAATTGGTCCTTAAATCAAATTAAGTGAGCCGCAGTTGCTAACGCTGTAAAACACGTACCGAAACAAAAAAACCCCTATTTTTCTATTTCAGATTGTACGTTCAGTGGGGGTTCATGTTTTTCTACTATTCTCTTGTTTCACAGACTGTACGTTCAGTGGCGGTTCATGCGGGGGATCGAGGCGCAGTTCCTGTCCTTGCAGAAGGGCTTCAACGAGATCATTCCCCAGCACCTGCTGCGGCCGTTCGACGAGCGCGAGCTGGAGCTGATGATTGGCGGGCTGGGCAAGATCGACCTGGACGACTGGAAGAAGCACACGCGCCTCAAGCACTGCACGGCCGAGACCAACATCGTGCGCTGGTTCTGGCGGGCCGTGGACGGCTTCGACGACGAGATGAGGGCACGTCTGCTGCAGTTTGTTACTGGCAGCTCTCGCGTGCCGCTGCAGGGATTCAAGGCTCTGCAAGGTCTGTGAGGGGGGATATTTTTTGTTTTTTGTTTTCTCTATTTCTGAGTGTATGTATTTCTCTCTTTCTCTCTCTTTTTCTGTCTCTCTCTCTCTCTCTCTCTCTCTCTCTCTCTCTCTCTCTCTCTCTCTCCCCCCACCCCCTCCCTCCCTCTCTCTCTCTCTCTCTTTTATTTTTCTGTGTTTTTTTGCTCGTTCTTTCTCTTTGTTTCAACCATTTTTAAACCAGTGCTTGTTCCCTTCATAGATTATTTAAATGAGATAGCTGTAGAAACAAATTTTCAACTTCTTTTTGTGGGCGGTTAGATGTTAGGTCTTACTACTTTGCTTTCCTTCTGTTATTTGTCTGTCTGTCTATCTGTCTGGATAGCTGGCTGGCTGGTTGTCTGTCTGTCTTGCCTTTTTTCAGCACTGAATGACTCATTGTGTTGATATGCGTCTAGTTCCTCTGTAATGATTGTCGGATGTGAAAATGGGAATGAACTGTGTTGTGAGTGTTGAAAGAATGATTCTCTATTGTCATGGTTGTGTCCCCCTTCTTGTGACGTCATACATTCGCCTCGTTTCCAATATGCACACGAGATTTCAGTGTGATCAAAAGTAAATAAAGTTCAGTTACCGGCAGGTAGGCACAGAGAGCAGTTGTGTTGTTGTCTGTCTTCATGTATTAATCTTTTTGTATAATGTGAGGCCATAGGTAGCCGTCCCAACAAATTAATTGATGTAGTTAAATTAACATATTGGTAAAACTCTCTCTTTTGTCTGACAGGTTCCACAGGTGCGGCTGGCCCGCGGCTTTTCACAATCCACCAAGTGGACATCTGCACAGACAACCTACCCAAGGCACACACATGGTGAGGGGCTCGCTCTAACACTTTGGCGTCATAATAATAGATAGCTTTTGTATAGCAGAAATCTCCGCTCATCAGCAAACTCTTATGTGCTTCACAATCTATACTATTACCCCAGCAGACCTTAGAGCATTCTGAAACCATCTCAACTTCCTGGGAAGCATACAGTGCAAGCAGCCATTTATAGGCGCTAAAACACTAACAAACTGACAAGATCTCTTGCTGTCTATTTCCGGGTACCCATTCCCACCTGGGTGAAGTGAGGAAAATTCGTGTAAAGTGCCTTTCCCAAGCACACAACGTCGGGCCCGCGGCTGGAACCCGCAACCTCAGGATTATGAATCCGGTAGCCTAACCCGTAGGCCACCGACGACACATAACACTTACAGTACCGAAGGCTCGTATAGTGAAAAACCCTCAAGTACCACAACAGTTTAGACCGCTGATGCCATGGTAGAATTTTTGTAAATTAAGAAAAAAACAACCTGTTTTGTTTTTGTATTTGGGGGGGGGGGGGGGGGGGGAGATTGACAGCTTTTTCCAATTTTAATATGCAACCGTCTCGCGTAATATTTTGTTAGAATGTTGTTGATTATTTCTCTCCATTGTTTTGACTCAAACCTGTGTTTTTCCGTGGGTGGTTGGCGGGTGCTCTGGTGTGGTTTGCTCCTTCTTTCCTATCAAACATCTATCGTCCTTAACTCCCCTCCTTCTTTTTTGTGTTTGTTACTCTCTTGTAACACCTCTAATCTTCTGGCGCTCATATGACCCTATGCAGTTGCGAGTGCCGTAAAACTCTTACTGAAACTAAACTAACTGTGTTTTTCTGTTTTCTCTCCAGCTTCAACCGATTGGACATCCCTCCATATGAGAACTTTGAAAAATTTCTCTCCAAATTGACTTGTGCTGTGGAAGAAACCTGTGGATTCGCAGTGGAGTGAATTCTAGAGGAGTACTGTGTATATTCGAATTATAGAAATGCTGGATGAAAGTGCTCACACAAAAAGAGTGCCCGTTTTACCCCGAGGTGGACAAATAATGGGAGATGACCGTGTCTGTTTCCTGCCTGCCCTTGTGGTGTGTGTGTGTACATTAATGGGACGTCATACACTGCAGTCTAGGCATCGTGGATGATGGTTACAAACGAGAGAGGGGAAAACTTTACAGGAATGCATTTTATTACACGGTGGTATAGACATGGCATTCTGTGAGAGCCCTCGGTTTTTTAGAATTAAGTTTTTTCTGTCGGTCATGCTGCAGTGAGGAGGGTCTAGGCCGTGCTTTAAAAATCTGTTTTTCTTCCTGCTGCAAGAACTTTCTCTCCCCCCCATATGAGAAGCAGCACGGGCGGAGAACGTTGCACGTAATTTATGAACGCTGAATGACGTGCAGCTCAAGCAAAATGTGTCGATCTGTTCTTCGAGCCTGTTGGATTATACAATACCCGATTGCTGATGTGTGCAATACCTGATTGGCTGGAGCCAGCAAATGTTCTTTAAAAAATCCTGGTGTGATTTTCTTTTTTTTTTCCCTCTTTAGTGAAAGCCTGTGACTGTTTTGTAGTTATGTTTCCTCTCACACTACACTGTTGTCTGGAGCCTGTCACAAACTTGCAGCCGTTGATGCTAGTGTGCCCAGTTCTTATCTCCCTCACTACACACATACACGCACGCACACGCACGCACACACACACACACACACACACACACACACACTGAATGCTGACAGGACATTATATGGTCGCTTTTAATGGCTATCCGAAAACTGTTTTGAGAAAATTGAAGGTAAAGTTTTTGCCCCTTGTTCAATTTCATTTAAAAACAAGTAGAGTTTTCTCTATAACCAAACAAATATACACACCAGTGAAACCAAACTTCTCCAATATAGGTAGGGCAATGCCCATTTTTGGTGTAGGTCAAGATTTATGGAAACCTTCGAAATCTGGGTTAGCCCACTTGTCCTTAAAAGCGACCATATTTACTTCTCGCATACCAAGTAGAATGTTATCCAAAGGTCCAAACAGTGAGGATTTTCAAACTGTCTTATTGAAGTAGATATCTATTTAAATTTTAGCAATTTGTATCTTACGCCAGGGTAAAGGCTTTGGCTTATAAAAATAATATGTGACAGAGTTGTGATAAGAGGCTATACTATTGTTTTTATTCATTGTGAGACTTAACTGTTTGGCGTTACCTAACACCGCAGAAGTGAGTTCACATTTTCTTCCCATTCTTTTTTTGTGTGTGGAATAAAATAATAGTACCTCATAGTTTTGTGGCTTCTTCTCATGGGTTTTATACATAGCTCTTTTGAGTTGGACTCCCAAAAGTTCTCGTGACTTGTCATTTTCTCTGATTTTAAGAGGTAGATGAACCTGGGGAAGAGTTACAGAAATTGATGTACAGAAAAGTGAGAAGACATGGAATAACATCAAGAGGCTAGTGCAGGATTGGCAAAGGCGGAAAATGCTTGTTCGTGACCTATACCCTGAACCAGGGTGAGAAAGGCAATGATGATGATGAAGAAGAGGTAGATGTTGTAGCCTGTGAGCATGACTGATGCATGGAAGGTCATGGTTCGTGTCTTGAAAAAGAAAAGAAATTTCTGTCTCTCCTTTTTCGACAAGATTTCCTTTCTGTTTTGGAGTAGAGTTCAAAAGTTTCACCTCATACGTGGCCTGTTCTGTCTTGCAGGAGGGTATTGTCAAACAATTTCAAATTGCCTAACTGTGAAAGAGAAATGATTGAAGCAAGAGAAGAGGTATTGGGTACGCGTGTCTCCTCCCCAAAGATGGCCTGGTTATATTTAGCAGTTGATGTGATGCCTGGTACCAGAGGAAGAAAAGTATTCTATTTCTGGGGAACCGCATCACAATGGGAAATTATTCTTTTAGAAATTGTGTTTTTGCATTTTTGTTTACAGAATTTCTTTTTCTTTGAGATCATAGATCATTGTTTGTTTTTTGTTAGTTAGACTGTTAGAGAAGTCCGTTTGTACTGAGTGGAAAGTTTATTCCCACCTTTGGTCATTCCACAAAAATGAAAATGTATTTCTGGTAGTGGTTGGCAACTTGTAACGGCCAAAATCCTGATGGACTTTTTTTGGTGCTCACATTATGCCCTTCGTATTGCTCTGTAGTGATAAGATGACCAGATTTATAATCTAACGCAGGTTGGAATAAGTTTTTTTTCATACTTTAATGAATACTTCAGATATGCTGTTTCGTGCGAGAGATAAAAGAATTGTCGATAGGCTTTTCACCCTTGTGGGTTGCTTTAGTGACTTGATTGTTTCTCACATTGATGAAGAAAGTGCCTTCATTATCCTGTGGTGTGCGTAGTCTATATTTTGTAATTACATTAAACTTCAGGGAATGTTGGTATTTGTGGCGTTATATATTCATCAGGAATAATTCTTGGGGTTCGTTTTTTTTTTTCTTGGTGTGAGAAGTGAACTGAGAGTCGGTTCTCTTGTTTTGTCAGGTAGTAATTTGATGACAGTTGTTATAGATTTGAAAGCCTTTTATTACATGTTGCTAGACAGACAAAAGTACCTGTAGTGGGGTCGTTGTTTTGTTTTTTTACAATATTCTTGATCCTCACAACTCAGTTCTCATTCACCAGTGGATGCAAACTTGCGATATATTCCCATTAGATATGATTACCCTACTCTTTTATCTAAAGGTAGATTGATTAATTATATTCCATATATTATATGTAAAGAAATAAACTAATCGCTACCCTAGAATTACAAAGTAGCCTACTTTCTTACCTTTTTGGCTGTTTTGAAGTACTAAGACCATGAGATTAAAAAAACTAATGTTTTTTCTGCTCTATCAAAATCGTCAGATTGTTCTGAAGCGTTATCATGATGTAATGATAAATAATAATTGCATTTATATAGCGCATATCCATGCTCAAGAGCTTTCTCTCTATGCGCTTTACAACTATTAGTACCCCAGCAGACCCTCTGAGAACACGCAGAAGCATTTTCAGCTTCCGCGGAAGCATACAGTGCAAGCTGCGGATTTCACACGCTCAAACACTATCAAACTGACAAGATCTTTCACTGTCTATAGCTGGGTACCCATTTCCACCTGGGTGAAGTGAGGAAAATTTGTGCAAAGTGCCTTTCCCAAGGACACAACGTCGGGCCCCTGACGGGATTGGAACCCACGACCTTACGGTTGCGAGTCCGAGAGCCTAACCACTAGGCTATGAATTCCGTTAGAAAAAGATTAACATGATGTGAAGCTCAAAATTGTTCACGTCAATTTTCTCAAAACTAGTTACTGAGCTGATGGAACTGTGTAATTCTGAGGTAGCGAAATGTCAATGTGTACTGTTGACAGAATCAGTGCCGGAGAGTGAGTCGTGCTGGTACTTAACGTGTATTTGATTGAAGCAGCCATGTGTACAGAGATTTAAAGTAGAATCGTAAGTTATTACCAGCTATAGTGTAATGTTGATGATGATGTTATTTAGTTGTCAGAGCAAAATCCACGTTCATCCGCACACACACACGTACCCCCTCAGGCAATGCACGATGAATCATTTGGTACCATCTCATTTTTGCTTTACTTTTTGGGGAATTAAAAACATTCACGGTGATCAAATTCATCTATAATTTCCCACCAGGCTCTATAAAGAATGACTCCCGTAATTAATTGTTTTTCTAAACCAGTCAAAAAGATCTTTTTGCTTGTTGATGTTATCAGTTTATGAAAAGATTCACTTGAAATTTTTGTCTTTTTATTTAGTCATTGAAAATAATTCTGTCTCACATTTCTTTTAGAGGTTTTTAGTTCAGAGTCACGTAAACGTATTTGGGACCGCTTTTGTTGGACTACTTGTGTTCTATTTTTGATGCGGAGTCTAGCTCAAACACAGATGGGTAGGAAAATATACGAGTGGCACGAGATCACTGTTTATCATTTTCTGCTGTTCCATCAAGATGTGTCATCGTCACAGAACAAGTGAAGTTAACTCCTTCATTGCCGAAACATTTCCATCTGCGCTTGTACAGAAAAGATAACGTGATGATTACAGATACTTCAACAAGGAAATCACATCTTTCCCCTTTTATCAGAATGAGTAACTGCACTAGATATAGATTTGTACCTCTTAAAGCTTCCTCTATAGGCCAGCAGAAAAAAATAAAAAGATGGTGAACCAGTTTTGGAGAACACAAGCTGGCAGTGCGTGAGTCTGCAGAGCTGTGGAGTGGGTCAAATAACTTGTTTTGTGCAAGTGTTTATGTGAGTCAGGAGAAATGTTTGTGAAGCGTGCTGACAAAATGAGTTACTTCTCGGATCCAAGACTTATATGGGAAAGGATATAGGCATATCACGCTTATAGGTGAAGTTTTTAAAAAATAATGTATAAGTTTGAAGTAATAAAACGTATGTTATAGTTAAAGAATATGGCATTAATAAAAATTCTACGAATTTGACCTTTTGTGTCGATTTTTGGCCAATATCTCCGTTTTGTGGATTGCGAGAAGTAACTCATTTTGTTAGCATGTCTCACATTTGGATCCTGCCTTCCAGGGCTTGGACTTTGATGAGAGATCAGAACTAGAATTTTTTTCTTTTTCTTTTTTCTTTTTTTTTTTTTTTGCTTGTTTAGTTTTGGTTGTTCTTTGATGTGTTGATGCAATAGACAGATAATAGAGATGTTCCTTCAATGAGAATGACAGATGAATGTTTGGAATCATTCATTCTCACCCTCCTCCTGCCTGTGAGGGCCAGTATACAACACAAAAACCAAACAAACAACACAGACACACTGGCATGCTGTACCATAACCCAACTATTTTTTTAAAAATCACCATGGAGGAATAATATTTTACTACCTAGTTTTATACTGCAAATATTTTCCCCAAACTGTACATAATATATTATAGCATTATTGAATCCTTCCTTACCTTGACATGTTGTTGTTGTTGTTGGCGGGCCGGATGTGAGGACGAGTTTCCCCTGTACATAGTGGAGGGCGTGTCAGATGTGTGTGTGTGGAAACGTAAGGATGAGTTGTGTATACACACGCACGTGTTGCAATTTATCAAAGTCAAAAGTCGTGGTAGGATTGGGATATTCAGCGTCAAAGTTCAAAGTCCTCTTGCTGCAGTATGGACTGTGTCGGTGGCCGATGAGAGTTTTAACGTTGAATAGTGTCCCAATACAAACATGAAATCTGATTTTGATTTTAAAATGTATGGTAAATGCTCCCCATAAGAGGGAAATTATGTTTGTTTGTGTGTGTGTATGTTTGTATGTGTAATTTGTGTGCTTGTGGGTGCGTGTGTATAAACAAGAGAAAGAGAGTGTGCCTAAGTCTGTACAGTTTGTGTACATGTTGTGGGGAAGAAGTGTTGTGTTTTCTGCATGTTTGTTTGATGGAGTGAGGGATTTCACTCTGGTGGGTATCTGCATGCATGCGTGCGGTCGGTCATTACAGGTGTATTTTAATTGTATTTTTTTTTATTTAGTTGGTTTAAGTTGCAGTAGTCGCCAACTGTTGCCATAATAAGGTACAGTCCCAAAGTGAGTTGCTGTATTCCTGTACCTTCTTTCTGGTGTTGTTTTATATAATATTACTTTACACTGTATGGGCAGTCAGTTTGTACTATTTTGTGCTTTCTTTTTATTACTGTGTGGCATTGTTGGAAGCCTGGTATCCCGGGCTCCTTCCCCCCTAAATATACGTGAGGCAGTGTGGTGA